AATTTTCTCCTCACTTTTGTGCTCCTTAATTCAAATATATTATTAGTTATAGATCTTGAATTAGATCAATAATTTGTATATACAAAAAAAATTATACCAATTTTTATATTAATTACTAATTTTATAGGTAAATGTACTACTTATAATATATATGTCAAACGTTAAATTAATTAAATGTATTTAGTTATTTTTGAATAACATACTATTCAATATTCTTAAACAAATAATGTAAAATAATAGGAAAAATGTTAGTAAGTTGGATTGAGGAAAATTTTTGAAAAAATATTTTAAAAATATGTTGTTTAAATAAACTTTAATTAAAATAAATAGTCTAAATTAGCATATTTTTAAGGTAAGAATGAAGAATATATTAATATTTTTTGTAATATTTTATTAGAACATCCTAATTTTGAAATATTTTTCACTTTATTTTTGTGCAAATCTAGTAAATAAATACTAATATCATATAAAATATAATTTCTTTTTTTATTTGATTACAGATATTAATGAACTTTCAATTAGAATATCAAATCTAATTATTGAATTGATATAATATAAATTGTACAAAAAATTACAACTAATATAAAATCTTTTTCATACCCAAATAAAATTATTTGTCTTAAAAATTGATTATAAAGAAAGAAACGGTCCCTTTACCTAACTCCTAAATATTTTTTTTAATTCAAAAAGGTCCTTGTAATTCAAACATCAAAAGCAAATTTTGTACTAATTAAAAATTAATGTACTAGATTAAACATTTTTCAAAAGCTTAAGGGGGCAGCTGCCCGCCCCCCTCTCCTCTTGTCCCATGGTAGCTCCGTCCCTGAATATAAAACAGAGTATTGATTATTGAAAAATAAAATAATTAACCTCATGCATACGAGAAGACAACACCAGCTAGAAAAAAATGGATTCTTTTGTTTTTTAATTTTTGACCTAATACTCACATATTGTATTAATTAAAGAGAATTTTTTGTTATTGTCCGAATTATATTAAACTATAAAAAAAAGTTAAATGAAAAAAATTTCTTAATATTAAAAGGTATCAATTCTGATTTAATAATTAATATGGTACAACCCAATCTAGTTCAATACTTTTTTTCATAATTAAATCCAGTACCTTTTACTAACCATTGCTGGTAGTATTCCATAAAAAGATGATTTGCAATGAGTTTGGACGTTGTTGGGTTTTATCAAACACGTTGAAGTCACTCGACTTTTCTTGTTGTGTAAGGAATTAATCAAATTGGAAGGCTGAATCGGATCGGCGGGTTGATGTCTTGACGATGACTTAAAAAGTCAGCAACACAAGTCATCAAGTTGGACGCTTGATTTGTAATCTTTTTTCAATTATTTGCCCGCCTCTAACTTCAAAGCTGACAGCTGGTAGGGTAGGTGTAAATGAACAAAAAATTGAAAGGTTGTACCAAATTACATTTTTCTTTTTATTTTTTATTTTTTCCTTTTTGGAACAAGCACAAACTTAGGAGCACCATACTTAACAGACTAATAGTTAAGTACATTTAATATTTTAATAAAAATTAAGATTTAAAATATGATAATATCATGTTATTTTTCATCTTTCTACTTTTAAATTGTATTTATTAAAAAGAATAACTCATTCCAATTCAGTGATATAAATCTTGAGTTAAGTCATTCATTTATTGTAAATAATGTGTTTAAACTCTACGAATTTCATTTTTTTTCTATTTAATTAATATATATAACTAATTTTAATTTGATAAAAAACTTTATGCTTAGTAAAAGAAAGTACAAACTTAGGAGAGGGGGACTTGAAATCTTGAATGCAACACTCAATGCTAAGACATAGATCCTCGGAAAGAGGTCTTACCAAATTATGTACTACTTGATTTGTTTAACATATTTGCGTGGAAAAGGAGCAAAATGTCTGCCATTAGTCCTAAAGCCAGTGGTTCAAAAGCACATTTTTCCTTCTTTAATTATTAGTATGTATGAGGTTCAAAATAAGTAATTATGTTGGGCGGTATCAGTTAGTAGGCGCTCAATTTTTAGAAATAGTATTTTTTT